AAGAGATTAGGACGACATGAAAACAGAAACGAATTCTTTCTTTCATTTCTAAGCATCATAGTGTATCTCAAACTTTCCTGTTCTACTTTAAAAAGTACAAATCATTGTTAAAAAAGTCATACGGCAGGCTAGTATTGTACTTCAGCTTCTGAGTCAATGAACCCCATCTCGATCAGGTTTTCGTCCAGTTTCCCTGATCCTTGAGGAAATGTTGAGATAGCCCCTTGTTTTGCTTCTGAACATAAATATAACTTCAAATTAACTTCCCCCGTACCATGTCACACACTTTTTTTTATTGTTTTGACATAAATAAATACATAAATTACGTCCAAAACCGTTAACACTGTGTGACCTTCTAGAGAAGAGTATTCTGTGCATGTTTTCATACACTCTCGGATCCTTACCCTACTCCATTTACAAGTTGAATTATGAATACAGACGGAAATAAGCACTTTTAGAAAGAAATATTTAATTTTAATAAGGAAATTCGCTTATTTAAAAAAAATACTATTTGCAAGGCACATCAGCTTTTATCCGTCACCGTGCCTTACGTAGAAGAATTGATTCTCTACCGTTAGAACAAGGAGAAGGATAATTTGAATAACTATATTACACTTGAAGACGTGCACAGACAATGAATTTATATTTATGCCCAGAAGAAAAACAATGGTCAATCTTAGCATTTGCTCGAAGGATCAACGAAACTGGGCTAAGAAACTAACTGTGATGGGGGCATTGACTCAGGTCTCTCTAGCAGTTTCCACGAAATGTCGAGTGGCCACATAAACGTAGAACTAGGAATTATGTAGTCTACCGTGAACTCAACCGCCACTAGCAGCACCATTCCTTGTCGTCTTTATTGCGGCGCTCCGGCAACGCCATCGATCCCGGCGATAACTGCCTCTGGCGCGGCATATCGCAGGGCATCGAGGCGCGCGCGATCTACACCTTCCTTCCGCTGCTGCTGCGGCCGCCGCCTCCGCTGCCGTCGCCGTCCGCGCCTTCGGTGGCTTTGAGCAGGCGGACGGTGTAAATTCCCTACCAGTTGCTCTGACGTCACAGTGTCCCGGCGGCTGGCGACGCACCCTGGTTCAGAAATGGCCGAAATGGTGCGCGTTTCACAAAGAGAAGCGAAACCTATCACGTCGACACGCGCCCATTTTTGAAGACGAGAATTGGATATTCAATGAATATATCAAAGCAGCAATTAATTTGAAGAGATGCGATCTATATATTCTCAAATGTAAACAATACCAGCTCATGAAATGATGTATAAATAATGCGATAAATTCACAAATCAAAACCATTTATAAAGAAAAGAGAAGGAATATTTCGATATCAATGTCATTCTATGATAGAGAAATACTCGTAAAAAGGACATGCGTATAGTCGTAACTAAGCGTATACATTTTAATGTTAAGAGCAATCCTTTAGAACGTGTGATGTCTTTTTATTTTTTTATGATTGAATAATCCGTGTGGAAAGCCAAAGATGAAAATTTATATTACACTATTCAAATGGTGGCAAATTAATAAAGGAATCGGGTCAATACAGAGATTTAAACGTATTGTTAATGGAAGTCGCGGAAGGGACCCATTTGGGTTAATCAAACTGATGCAATTATAATGGTTTGACGGACAATATTTTATGCTCAAAGGTATTAAACATGCGATTGCAGAAGTAGAGGACAAAAATAAGTGTAATTAAAATGATTGGAGGTGATTACACGACACAATTATCGTCTGTACTATTAAAAATAAATGTTTCTTTTGTTGATCAATAAGTTCACTCCTCCTAAACAGATTCCCTGTCCCACATTACTCATTAATTATTTTATCTTCGATAAAATAAATGTGTGCTTATCGGTTCATCTGCATGATCATTAACCCCATCAAAGGAGGGTCAAAAGTGAGTACGGCTACACAAATGGATGAGCAGTGAACTCCGACACCGTGTGTCTGATGTCCATTAAAGTTGGCACATATACGTGATTTTTATTTACCCAGAAGGATTATGAGCTATTGGTTTTGTTGTAATTCACTAAATGGGTCTGCAGCACGAGATTGATAATCATTTTAATTCAATTGCCATTCATACTGAGTTCCACCTTGGCTTCATTGTTGCCATGTGATGCAAGGCGAGGCTGAGATCAATACAGCGGCGTGCGTTAGTCAGAAACGCAGACAGACAACGTCAGAGAGAGGCAAGACGAGACAAAATGACAGAGAGAGGGAGACAAACAGAGAGGGAAAGAGAGACAGAAAGATAGAGATGCCACGAGAAACAAACTGAGACAGACTGAGAGACACGGAAAGACTGACACACAGGGTCAGGGACAGGCAGAGGCAGATACATAGAAAGACATTCTTAGATGGGTCAGAGAGGGAGAGAGAGAGATAGACGGAGAGAGAAAGGAGAGGAAAGGTGATAGAAGGAGATGGAGAGCAGTGCATCTGCTGGGTTCCGCTAGTACTATATAAACCATGAGCCATCAACTATTAAATAGGGTTATCTACATTTCAGCCACTAGAGAAAACTTTTATACATTAGAGAAATAAATGCACAGAAAAATACATCAGAAACTTTCTCAAAACATTTGACCTTTCTCATACACAAGAAACTCTACAATAAAGTAACAAGTCGCTAGCCTTGAAACATGTTTTTATGCTACCTCCTTGTGCAGCACGCACATCCTAGAACGGACAGCCTGCAGTTTCTTTCTGACAACGTTGAGAGAACAACTTCTGAAATGTGGCTGACATCGAAATTCTAAAAATAGCTGTAAAAGGTAAGTATATATCAATGTTCTTTAAATATTTTATATGCAAAGTTTAATAGTATTTTGAGTTAATATATTAAAACGTGAAAAAATTAAAATGCCAAAATAATGTGCGTCAGTTGGGTTTAGGTTGATATTAAACTACATTAATTTCCTGAAGTGCGATTTAATTGACTTCGATGTCAAATAAAGTTAACGTCAAAAAGTTGTGATTTTAGCTCAATGAAAGGTTAAGAAAAAAATATTCCTGCAGAAAGACGTATTGTGTACTTTCTAACGTTGTTATTGGTCAAATACCTTGGTACTGTAACAGTAAATCAAGCCGCCCCCGCCCCCACGGTCGTCCCTGCCCTAAGCGTTTCTTTTGTCGTCACCAATTCCCCATTCTCGGAAAGGCCACCCATTCCCCAGTCATTAACGGATGGCCGCAGCTTTGTGGTTCCCGGAAAGTACCCGGTAAACGCACATCATAATTTCAGTGTTTTAGGCATTTTAAGAAACAAATTTTAACGCACGTAAGCTGATATTTGATATGGTGAGGACAAGCCCCCCTCCTACACCTTTCGTTCAACTACAACGAATGGTGAGCTACCTCATCGGTGAGTGAGTGGAAGACAGAGGTTCGGTGGTGAATGTTGTTGCATGGTAAATTCATTGAGATAAAAATTTCGGCCGAGTAAGGTTCAAACTGCGCCTTAAGATCTCGAAGGGGAGCTTGATTCTGCTGGACTCTCGGAGTGTAGGACCTGCACTTAATTATTCTCGTTGTCACCACCACATCACGGAGTGGCATTACGCGGTTATTTATGTGCCTCCCTCTGCATTAGCATCGGCTAGTGTGTCGTGGCAATAGGGTGATTGCGTGGACGCCGTTCGCCAGTGTCTCATGTATCCGACTCGTGTGTGACCTGCCAGCCAGGAGCTTAAGGCCGCCACCGCCGCCTGCCTCCCACAGCCTTCGCCAGCCGCCGCTGATGCGAGGTGCGGCCATTGCTTCGCCCTCGCCGTCGTGTCTGGGCAAAAGGTCCGACTCGGCAAAGAACAACCGCACGTTGAACCCCGTAACATGCGAACTTCATAGTATTTGTTTGTTTTTGATTCTGGGCGAGCCGCGCATTGGTTGTTTAACGTAGAACACTAATTTTATATTATAAGATAGTTTCAACCAAGTGAAGAACATTTCTCTTCTTAATGCATGATCCACCACGCTAATCCCGCACCCCACAATGAATTAGAAAGACAATGCTAAATCAAGTTATAATCTCTCATTCCCTCTAGGAAGGGAAGGGAATTATTACAGTATTTATAGTGCATTTAAAAGTAAAATTAATTATCAACAAATTAGCATAAATAAATTACGTTGCACGCGCGGGATAAAGCCTAAAACCATTGGTGAACATTTTTTCCAAAGACATTTTGACGCCATTTTAAACTGTTGAAATGGTTTTAATTTTCCACTACGGTCCACATTTTTTACAAATCGGAAAAAAATATTATGGAATGTTATATGACGTGATCTAGAAAAAAGCTAAGACAGTACTCAAATGTTATCTCGTCGAAAATTAATTTTCAAAATGTATTACTTTTCGTTTCTAAAACTCGTTCCTCATTCTTTCTATGAGTCATATGAGCATTGCGATCATCGATTTGGATTGGGGGCGCTTTTCACCTCCTTATTCAGTCATATCCTTTACCATGCAGGAAATACTAAAGACGTTATAACACTGCCTGAGTAATATACTACTATCCCTTACTACTACAGTGAAATACTATTGTCACGACTACTGAATAAATCATGAAGACTATTATCACATATGCTTATCAGCAGGAAACTAAAATATTTCACACATGAATAGTCTTTCTAATAGTTTCTAATATTATTGGCTTTCCAGTCTTCATTCAGAAGGCAACACACAAATATTTAATTGCCATACATTAATGTTCACTGACTTTCACATTATACGTAACTGAACATTTTGAGATAATCTATCCCCTCACAGACACTGCAATTTTATTTATGGAGAAAATGTCACATTTCCGATGGAGAATCATCACTTCAAATATTAAAAGCATTGCGATGTAGTCCCACAAAAACACGTGGATTAACGTGTTCTAAGTTACGCGAGCCAATAAATAACTTGTGTTCCTAATTCAGTACCTGTTCACGTCTTTTGTCAATTCTAACTCATTGGGAACGCCTTCATTACAGGTTGCGGTCAGAATGGGATTGGCAGAGAATATCCTCTTATACGGCGTGTCTTTGTTAGCAGTCGTATTTATCGCCGCATATTTATTCTGCACCCGCAAATTTGGGCACTGGAAGAAGAAAGGTGTAAAATATCTAAAGCCAATCCCCTTCGCTGGATCTCTAAAAGATGTGGTTTTAATGAAGAAGCCCCTCGGTTTAGTTGCAAAAGAAATCTACGAAAAGTATAAGATCGAACCGTTCATCGGAATTTACGCCTTCGACGAACCTGTGCTCCAAATCCATGACATCGATTTAGTGAAAACCATCTTTATGAAAGATTTCTCCTACTTTTGTGATCGTAGCCTCAACGCAGATGAAACTGCGGATCCCCTATTCGCAAAGGCGTTATTTTGTCTCAATGGAGATCGCTGGAGACAATGTCGCACTGCAATAACGCCTAGTTTCACGTCTGCAAAAATGAAGAACATGTTCGAGCTTGTCATGCAATGTACGAATATGCTTTTACTGGCAATTGAGAAAGATGTTGAAACAGGTAGGTCTTTTAGATTTATCTTTTAACGGGGAATATTTTCAACTTTTGTTCTTCCACTTTAATACATGATTCTTTTCAATTGTACTTTTATTTATAGTAAAGTATTCACGAGTGACCAGACGGTGAAATTAAGTAAATAAAAACAATGGTTACTTACGTATTTCTCTTAATTTACTTTTTTTCAATCCGTATTCAATCACATTCTGACATTATATATTCTCTCGTCATTATTTTGAAAATTCTCTCGCCAGAGATGACCTGATCTTTTCACTAGACGTTCCTTCCTTGTCAACCATTTTTCAACTAGTTCAATGTTAATTTTTCTTAACAGTTTGTCTGTGAATCCTATTAATGCAATAATTTATTAAAAAACTGTTTATTGTGTATATTTAAAAATATAATACGTATTAGTATTTGCGGGCATGAATTCAATCAAATTGAATTCTCACGCATAAAACTTCACGATTCTACACCCCAAGAATATCATTTTTCTACCTGCTTTACCAACATTCAGATGCAGATATAAACACACATGCACGCGTACAGATAATTTATTCGACGTATCGCAACAAAAGCAGATATTAATGACGAAATTAAACATTCCAAGACAAGGATTCCACACTTGCGGTAAGAAGTTGCCGGTTTTCAATATCTGCTACATCAAAAAAAAAAAAACTTTCCCCTAATCGTACATATATAAACTTACAATAGGGAATGCTATGTAATTCTGTGGAAATTCGATTTCTAGATTTCAACGGAAATACACTTTTGAAGTAACCTGACACCAAAAAGAGTTGTTGTTTGTATTTTTTAAAACCATCCGTCCGTCGTTTTTAAAAACATCCGTGAACATTAGTAGCACGTAAACCATACGCAGGATTTTTTTTCAAATTGAAGAAACCCCTGTCCATCTGGCTCTAATAGAAACATTGGAGTTTTGAAAAATATTCTTCAAAATTTGATGGCAATTTACATCAAGCCCTCCGGACATTTTCAAAACTTTCTCAAAAACGGCTTCAATTTTAAAAAAAATTCTTGTAACAATAGATTAACATACACTTATAAACGTGGCGTAGGTCCGATTTTCACGGTTAACTTTTATTTTTCCGGTGTCTTGCTACAAGTACAAAATTATAGATAGAGATTTTTCCTTCAAATGAAATTTGTTCTCCATAGTGAGTTCTCATGAATGTCATATACATTTTTTTTAATTTAATTGTTTTCGCGCAACATTTTTTGCAATATGCGCTATTTAAAAAAAGTACAAACACAATATACTCCACGCACAAAAATAATGTCATTGTTACGATGTCGCTAATAACCTTTGTAGTTGTTGTGACATAAAATAAATAAATAAAAAACACACAAATACTATCTCAAAAACGGCTCCAATTTTTTTTCTTTAAACTTTTAGTAGGGATAGTGTTCAATGTACTCTCTAAGATTACGTAAATGCTATATTGCTCTATTCTTTTGTTTTTGCAAAAAATACAAAAATGTAATTTCTTTGACTGTAATTTGTATATATGAGTACATGTGCTGTAAATAATGGGATATCTCGAAACCCCAACTAACTGACTAAGAAAACTAACTCAAAATTACGCATATTTAGAAACTCTTTAACTCTATTTTTTCAAAAGTGGCTTCTATTTTTTTCAAACTTTTTGAACAGATATTGCTAATTGCACTTTTAAATATTCCTTAAAGTTTATATCGGTTTAATTTTTTTGTTTAGTCAAACATTACAAAAACATACTTTTTTGAAAGATCTCTTAGACCATCGATAAGCACATGTCCAGCAATTTGTAAACATTATTGAATTTGTGAGTTAAAGTACGTACAATACTTTTAAAAAAATCGACCTTTTCTGTGAAAAAGAGCTTGCAATGTCGAATTGACAGTAGCGCTTACACGAAAGTGTTTTAAAAACGGCTTGAAATTTTTCATAGAATAGTTCCATTTTGGACGATTATTTACTGTTCTTTAATAATCTTAAAGTATTATTTCCTTTTTACAATTAGGATATCGAAAAATTAAGAAAAAGTCAAATAATGTAAGTTGGGCGGCGAGAGATGGCAGCTGGCAAAGTACGTGGCAAGTACAAACAACTAGCCGAGACCAAAGGAAATAGAAAACTAATACGGGAAAGTCTGCGCCATTCTCTAGAACCACTAGGTTTATTATTATCTCTTTGCAGAGTGCACTATTATACAGACAATTTTTCTTGAGTCCCTACATTCCAATCCCCTCTTCTTTACTAGCGTTGAATTAAAATTGAAATATAGCAACGGGCGTCGTTGACAAAATATGAAAATTCGAAATGTTCGCTTCTCAATTATAGAAACTATTATGTATCAGAAAGCTAGCTACAATAATATAGATCGATGCATGCATGCAATATACTACAATAGAAAATCCATACCGTCGAAATAACGAAATCCTTCTCTTTCCTTACATGTACCCACGACAGGGCTAAAAAAATGCGCGGATAATATCTATGTGATACGAAATACTCTTGTCATAACGTTATATATGTAATAAAATCATATATAATAAACAGACATATTTGAAGTGAATGATTGCATGAGCTAAGTTATACGATTCTGGAAAAGAAGAACATGTTATACTTATGCATACTAACATAGAAATATGAAATATTAAATTATTATTAATATTATATAATATACTCGAAATACAGTCATGCAAAGAGTTAATATCACAGGTGATATACAGGTGTGATGATGAGAGATTAACTGTGTTGACTTGTTAAAGAATTTTTATACATAATTCTGGCAACAGTTTTCCTGTTTCAGCAACACCGATTGGCGTGTACGAGCTGGCAGCACGCTACACAACAGATGCCATTGCCACATGTGCTTTTGGCATTCAGAGTCATGCACTGAATAATCAAAATGCCGATTTCCGCCGAATTCTGAGATTGTCGTTTGAATACACGACTAAAGAAGCTCTTGCAGTTGTGGCTAAATTTCTCTCACCGAAACTTGCCACTATACTTGGATTGAAATTTGTTAAGCCTGAAGTAGAAACGTTTATAATGAGAACAATTACATCTGCAATAAATGAACGAGAAGAGGCAAAGATAAAACGCAATGATTTGTTGGATAGTTTAATACAACTGAAAGATTCTGGAAGAATTGTAGAGGATGACACATATGTACGTGAAGTAAAGGAGACTGGTTTCAGTAAGTAAATTTCTATGAATTCATAAATCTTTGGGAAATTTTAATATTTTTTGAAATACACAGAATGATATGCTACCTTTCCAAATAATAGTGCATCTATGTTCGCTTTTCTTAATATTTGTCTTTCGACACAATCATTGATTCATTGTATTTTGACTCGTCTAAACAGGACTCAATTATATAGAAATCGTGCTTGAATCGTTTTTTTTAATTTTCAATACCATTATATTATGTTGGAAACCATATTAGCAGCTACACTTTAGAAATGGTGATAAAAATTAATTGAACAAAATATGTGAATTAATTGCAACGAATATGACGGGTCAATTAATTTTTTCGGCGATTTTTAAATGCTCTCGAATGCTTATTGCGAACGTTTGAAAAATCGATCGTCAGATTGAGAAGGAAGAAATTTTCGTATCTCCGATACGCCGGCAATGTTTTATTTTGAAAAATTATATTCCTGTCCATCTGGGCGCTTACTTGTGAATCTCAAATTTCAATCGTTCACTGGTATATTTTTCGAAAGTTTGTACTTGTGAAATCCTTAGTAATTTACATCAAGTAGTTATTTGTTGATTTCATATTGTTTGTACATGGCCCCAAATTGATTCAAATTTGGTGCCACGCTTCGAACAGCTCAGTTTTGCTGCACTTTGAAGACATTTAAGAAGAAATGATCATACATTTCAAACTTCCTCGGAGATACCGGAGATATTGGAGTCTAATCTTGCTCAAAATCCAATTGCTTCTCAAATGACCAAATACTCATTTTTGTACAAATTGAAAATGATTTTCAACTGCCTTGGAAAATCACTAATAGATTGTACAACCTCTTGGGCGACGAAAGAGTTGCCTAAGGTCAGAATTCCTGGAATGCAATTTTATTTTCATATCAGACGAGTTCGTATTGTTTGCAAATCAGATGAGCCTTGGCCATTTTTGTAGCAATCGTGCCAAGGAGCTAAGCAATACGCATATGGGGCACATTGAAAGTTTGTGGTACGTTGGCACCAAGCAAGTTATCGTGTAGTTTCTTTGAACCATCGTTCTGAGACGCGGACGAAAAAGCCGAAAGCATCAATGATTTGAAATTTTTAAGAGGAACGTTTATTTTCGTTCAGACAAAGGTAATCACGCCAATATCATCAATACTCATGGATTCCTACGGCAAAGTAATTATCTTTGTCAATTATTTATCACTTTTTCAGAACTCTCTTTCAACTGACGAGAACACAGAAGGCGATGCCTAAAACTTCTTGTGGCAGAGTCTGCTAATGTTCTCGTAATTCATCTAAGCAATTTTTTGAAGTCTCATCGCACATAGTAACGCAAAGTGCTTAGACGAAAATTCTCTTCAATCAAAATTCAGAATATGTACTCCCCAAATATTTTCTTTACTCTATTCCCGAAACTTGCGTACTATCTTAATTTCTAGGATCGATTTACAGGTCAAATTAAGTTATAGACGGAATTAATGATTGACACATCATTATTCGTTTTACTTCAATTATTTATTAATTAAGAATTTAACAACTTCAAAGGTTTTCTCGCAAGATGTTTCACTAATTGATTGTGTAATTTTTTCACCAGAATTCGATCTACTAGATGTTGCATCGAACAGTCTGGGTTTCTTGTTGGCGGCATTTGAAACTTCTGCGACCACTATGACATATATTTTGTACGAGTTGGCGATGAACGGTGACATCCAAGATAAACTACGCCAAGAAATTCAGATCATTGCTAGCAAAGAAAATTTGTGTTTTGAATCAGTGCATGGCATGAAGTATTTGGACATGGTCTTTCAAGGTATTACGTGTTAAAACATATCCATAGGAACTAAGATGTCTCAGAAGAGCACTGATGTGGCTTTATACTAAGATGATTCTCATAAATAATTAAAATATGCTTATTTATTTATTTCATAAAAGTATTACACTTCCATGAATTGTACGAACTGTAGATCTAAAAAATTAGTAACGATTGTTGAAGGGCTATGAAGTACTAAATATTATTTTGAAATATTAAATTAAACGCCTCACAAACATATATAAAGCCATAAAATAACAGACCTAATATTAGAGAAAATTAAATTTATATCCGAAGGAATGAAATTATTACTGAAATATGTTTCTAAATTAGTTTCTTTTCTTGAACTCGTATAATAACTTAACTATCTTAAACTCCATTTTAACATATACAATTACGTATGTGTTAATTAAATGCAGCAAAAAAACGCAGAACTCTGCACATTTGTTCTCGCAATAACTAAACTACAAGAGAATGAATCAATATTTGTAATTTTATTTTCAGAAACATTGCGAAAGTATCCCCCAGTACCTTTCATCGACAGAGTATCAAACAAACCATACACCGTGCCTGGCACAATGATTACTTTAGAGGCAGGATCTAGGATCCTTGTACCCAATTATGGATTCCACACAGATCCAGAATACTTTCCGAATCCCAAACAGTTTGATCCTGAACGGTTTTCGGAAAGAAAGAAGAACGCCAATCTTCAATACTATATGCCTTTTGGTGAAGGACCACGGAGTTGTCCAGGTGAGTTACAAGGCTTATAATCGGACACGGTAATACTAATTATCCCAACTTTTGCTAATGAAGCTCATGATTAAGTTTCCAAAAATGGTATTTATAATACTAATATAAATATATCTTCAATATGAAATTTCTAAAAGCAGTGCAAGTCAACAATAGAAACTATCTTCCAATAAACTTGTTCATATTCCTCGTCCAATAAAACCGTTTTCTACCGATTGCATCTAATTAATTTCAAATAATTACATCATCAGGAAACACGATAAAGTATAGTGAGCCGAAATTTATGGTTTTCCTAATGTTTGCCCACAATATGGTAGCTATGTGATCTTGATTTCTGTAATTATTTCATTACAAGACTATCACAGATCGAGTTTGAATAATTTATGACAAACGTTATGATGACAAAACAACAAACTTCAATTATAATTTTTAATGATAAATGGTTGAAAGTATGATTGAGTATTTTAAGTACAAGGAGTCATTTTGATATGCAGTAATGGATATTAGGATGTATAGAAATTCGGAATTCAGCACGGAACACAAATTAGTGGTGATGAAAACCCGTATCAAATATTCACCTAGACAAAGATTTAGGAAATATTTTAAAATTAAAAGCGCAAAATTGAGAATGAAGAAAAATAGTAAAAGATATGAAGCAATTGAAGAAAGATTAAAAATGAAACAGAGAGAGGTGAGGGAAGGAATCGAGGAAGATGGAAGAAGCTGAAGGAACGATGCGAGAGGCAGCAATAGAGGTATGTGGTAGGAATAGAGTAAATTCGCGTTTTAAAAGATTTTGGTGATGCAACAAAGTGATGAAGGCATGGGTCAAGAAGAAAACAAAAGCGTACGCCGCATATATCGTTTCAAGAACCCAAGAAGGTTGGAAAAAGTACGTAGAAAATAAAAACAGAGCTAAACTAGAAGTGAACAAGGCAAAGGGGAAGTCATGGGCAATGTTTGCTACAGATTTGGAGGAAAAGTACCGTAAGAACAAGAAACACTTCTGGCAGGTAGTAAATGTATTCAGAAGGACACAAAAGAAAATGGTCAGAAGCATAAGGGATCCAAATAACAACTTAAAGACAGAACTAACAGAGATACTAGAAACCTAGAGGAAGTATTATGAGAACATATTCAATGATAATAACAGGACAGCCACTGGCGATTGAAGGGAATTGAGTGAGAGTCAAGATCTCCACGAGCCATTGCGAAATGGGAAAGCGGGGAATGGCGAATTGAACCTGGTGAGTGAGAGACACCAGGAGAGAGGATCAGAGGTGGAGGAGGATTCCATAACGGAAAAAGATGTAGAATATGCAATGAGAAGAATTCAAGTTGGGAAGGCAACAGCTCCAGACGGATTATCGCCAGAAATGATAAAGTATATTGGGAAAACGGAAAGAATATGGATAACAGTACTATGTAAGCAGATATGGAGAAAAGAAATACTGTCGCGAGACTGGCAAGAAAATAAAATTGTACCTCTATACAAAAGGGAGCACTGTCGACTGTGAAAATTACAGGACGATTTTTTTGTCATCCTGCATAAGTAAACTGTATTCGAGGATAGTGGAAGTAAAATTAAGGAGGGAGGTAGAGGAAGACCTTGAAGAGGATCAAGGGGCCTTTAGACCGTACAGACAAACACAATACCATATTTACAATATAGGAACCATAATTGAAGAAACATTGAATAGGGGGAAAATAATATGCACTGCTTTCATATATTTAGAGTCAGCATTCGATACAGTACCCAAGAAAGAACTATGGGACGAACTGGAGAAAGTGGATATTTCAAGCAAAATGATGAGGGTAATTAAAAGAATATATAAATATGTGTATGGTGCAGTAAGACTGGATGGACAAATAAGTGGGAAATTTAGAATGAACAAAGGGATTAAACAGGGAGATTCTTTGAATTCTTTATTATTCATAATCTTTCTGGATCAGTTTATTAAAAAAGACTAAAAGGTGAACTAAGAAATGTAAAATTGGAAATTGAAAAATGAGACCGGTATGAATACAAGCCTTGGTGTTAGCGGACGATAATTTATTGCTCGCCAAAACTCAAAAATAGCAGAAAGAGTTGGTAATGGAGTATTGGTATGCACTGGAGGATAGGGGTATGAAGATAAACATCAATAAGAGCATGGTTATGTCTATAGACAAAGAAAAGGAGGAAATGAACATTAATTGGAGACAGGAAAACATGGAGCAAGTAACAAGTTATGAGTATTCAGGAACAATAATTTCGGAAAACGGAAAATATGAGGAGGAACTGAGTAATACGGTGAATAAAGCAAACTCTGTGTATTATCAAATAAATACGAACTTGCTAAGAATGAATGTAGGTACTAAAACAAACCTCCAAATGTATAAGTCTCTCCATATACCAATACGTATACATGGAACTGAAAGTAAGCTACATAATACGAAAATAGAAAGTAGAATCACAGCAGTGGAAATGAAATTCCTATGCAGGATAGCAGGGACAACAAGAGATCGGATAAGAAACAACACAATTAGAGGACTAAAATTTACATCCCTAATGAAGGAAATGGAAAACAAGGCTCTAAAGTGGTATAAACATGTTAATAAAATTGCAGAGGGTAGAAAGCCGAAACAAATGATCGAAGACAGACCAGAGGGAAAGAGGCTACCTAGAAGACCAAGAAGAACATGGGACGCATATACGATATCGTATACAGGATATTTGACAAAGGAGAGGAGTTACGTGCAAGGCACAAGACAAAAAAGGGGTATGTCAAATGGCTAACCCTACGCGGAAAGGCATCAGGGGAATATCAAGAAGAAGAAGGTTTTTAGACGAGAGATACATAAATTAACTTGCGTCACAAAAGTTGTATTCTCAAATAACGTCTTTTAAAAAGCTCACCTTTTAAAGATTTGTTTAAGAGACTGATAAGAAAAAAGTTTCAATTTGTCCATTCTAACTCACTGCCGATATGAATTTAATGAAGGTTACTGGTCACCATCATACATTACAGAACGGGAGAATGTAGTTATATACAAAAGTCCGGGTAAAATATTTACATGAATTTGTCTGCGTCCTCCTAATACTAAACTATTATGAAGATATCGAATCATGGGGAACTATGGAATTTGCTGCTTTGATAAAATGTCATCCATAATTAATGTAGATCAAACCTACTATTTAAACATGTAGTATCAATGTTAGGGTGCCAATGTAGTAAAGTCTTGACTGTTCAAAATTCTAAAACAAAATTCAAGCATTTTAATTAAGGACCAGCTTGGAAATTAGGAAAACGATAATGTGAGTACAAAAATGCGAAGCAATAGTAGAAAATGTTGTGTATACCATATAAGTTAAGTTTTTTTGTTATTTAAGGTCGCATCAACTGCTAGGTCATTAGCGTCATTGCGTGTAACGGTATGATCACTATGAGGATGACACGATATGATTATGACAGGAGTGTGAAAGGACGAACACAATACAAACATGCTCGAGGCGGAACTCGAACCCGCGATCCTTCGGTCAGAGATCGATACGGCACTACTGCCTTAGAGATCTCGGCCGTAAGTTAAGTTGTCAAGTATGTTCTTAAAAGAAAACTAGTAGTGCTACTGAATGGCACATACTTTCGTGATCTGGTTAATTTTCTAATTTTTTGCTCTGGGCTAGCTTTTCAGGTTTGCCCTATCCTCTTGCCACTTGCCTATCACAAACCAAAAAATATTTTTGAGAAGATTTCTCAATTTTTCAGTTTACTAACGGTAGAGCCGAAATATTACTTTAAGTGTATTATAAAAGAGTAAACTTTCGTCATGTATGGATATTTTTTTTTAATCTTCCATTACTTTATAGCTAGATGAATTGGAAATAGGACAAAAGTATTGAAGAATTTTTGAGTGTTAATTGTAATTTAATTGTTTTTGGAAAAGTATTGTTAATTTTATCACAACACTTACAACCTTATGGTACTAATGTAAACAAAACTTTTAATTACATTAATTTAAGATACTATTGTGACGTCATGGATACTCAGCACGACCCACAAGACACAGAGCTTGTCCGTATAAACAATATATTATTAACAAAGAAATCAAAACAAATATATACACTTAATAATCTACTTACACCGCTAGCTCTGAAACTACTATCCCTGATCGCGGAGCGATCCAAACCCGATTGAAGATGGTTTGATTGTGGCATTCGCCTCTCCTACTTTGAAGCGCGCACAAGCCAGCTTTCCGTACGGATGTCACGCTGGGACACAAAGTCGTCTGGCGCACCAACGCTGGTTTGCGTCGATCGCAGGAGCGATCTTATCGCGATTGAGAATCGGCGTGAATCGTGCACTCAACCACTCTTCACTCGGAGCACGCACACAGCATCGCTCCCCGTGACCGCAGTTACCAAGGACATAAAGTCCGCAGCCTTCGTCAACAGTGACTCAGCCTCGCGAGCTGGCTCGCAATGCACCGTCTTGGCGCCAAGTTTGTGACACGCACGAGGTTTCTACCACCGTCTCCAAGACCTGCCTACTGGCTCGCTACACTCTTTATAGTGGCGAGGCCCACGTGGACCCGTACGTCACGCCACCCCCCTCCGCTTGTTATAACAGTGAAATAGGCTTTTATAACCGGAAGAACCCCAAAGCCTTGTTTGTCTCCCGTTCTCCGCGTTCTTCCCTTTACGGAAAAACCCTACTTCCTGTGCGAGACTATGCGCAACCAAACGTCCCCAAATAGATGCCATGAGGCACGCTGGCTAATACGTTACACTATTTATTAATACTGCCTTCCATTTACAGGTTTACGCTTTGCCATGATGGAAATTAAGACGGCAATTGCAAACATCATCTTGAAATATTCAGTCCATCCGGCCAGATCTACACCCAATGAAATTACATTTAACCCCAAGACATTTTTGCTGCAACCAAAGAACATCATTGAACTTATTTTCAGAAGAATATGAAGTATTTTTCACACTTTATTTCAATCAAACATGGCTA